ATCCTGTCTCTCCTGGTCATTCTCTTCCCTAGACTAGCCATGCCCAATTCCTACAACCATTCTTCATATGTTTTAGCCTCCAGTCCCCTCATCATCCTGGTTGCTCTTCTCTGTAGTTTCTCTAGTCTCAACATCTTTTTATAGTGTGGTGACCAAAACTGGATGCAGTACTCTAGGTGTGGTCTTACTAAGGCTTTATAGAGTGGTATTAGTACCTCACTTGATCTCGATTGTATCCCTCTGTTAATGCAATTTAGGATTGCATTAGCTTTTTTGGCTGCTCCAGCACACTGCGGGCTCATATTTAGCTGGTTGTCCACTAAGACTCCACAGTTACTGCTATTGAGCCTGGTTTCACCCAATCTATATGTGTCCATTTAGTTTTTCTTGCCTAAGTGTAGGACTTTACTTTTCTCTACATTGAATTTCATTTTGTTAGATACGGCCCAGTGTTCTAGTCCGTCAAGATGTATCATTTGAAGACATTTCAAGTTGCACTTCTCTTTCATCCAACTGAAAAGAGAACGGGCAAAATGGAAATGCAGATATTTTTGGCACAGCTCAAGTCTAGACCATTCCCCCTTTCCAGTCTGGAAAATCCCAAATTTGGTTGCTCATGTAGGCTGTTTGCTTTGGCCTTGAGAGGCCAAGTCTGAGTCACCCATCTTGGCCGGGTGTAGCTTCTCCAAGTACCCCCCTCCTCCACGAGGTCACCGTCCAAATCAGATTTCAACCATTGGACAATTTTTTCCTTCTGACTTGCAAGTCCAAAGAAATTAACGTCTGTAGCTTTAATCTCATCCTGACAATTTTTCAAAAGGCCAAAACTCTGAGGAACGCTCCCCTTTGATTGGGATAAATGCATTCAGAAAAGGAAGCGGGGAAAAAAAAAATCGTAAAGTCTATTCTGGTCATTACTTTTGATGCCAATTTTTTTTTTTAAAGTGACAACTTCTATTCCCTCCAGCTGTCAAATCACACCTTCCAGGTTTGTTTGTTTTCAACCTCGTGTGGAAAATTCCCCGTTGAAAGGTTGCTTGCAAGACTGATCTGGATGAAATTTAACCGATTGCTTGCTGCTTATTGCTGGGATGGAGGATATTAGCTCCCATCAGTACTACAAATGTCCGAGGTTTGAGACAGACCACGCTGTTGTAAGGCTAGAGATGTGTCTGTGGAGATTCTCAACTTCATCCGTTCTGATGGTGGGTGGAAGGAATTCTTCCATCTTATTCTCACCAACCCCAATCAGAACTGACGAGGCTTCTTGGATGAGAAGCGACACTTTTTCCAGTTTTCTTAAGAAGGAAAATTAAAAAAATAAAACAACAACCCAGCCCAGTTGCCTTTTGAAAAAGCACCTTGGAGGTTGGAGGTGTGCACTCGTTTTTTTGCAATAAGGAATTGTGATGCAGGCAAGAGATCAGATGAATGGATGGGAGGGTGAAAAGGTGAAGGGAATGGAAGGGAGGAAAGAAAGAAAGGAGGGAGGGAAAGGGATGAGGAAGGGAAGGGAAGGGAAGGGAAAAGAAAGGAAAGGGGAAAGGAGAGGAGGGAAGAGAAGGGAAAGGAAGGGATGGAGGGAGATGAGGAAGGGAAGAGATGAGGAAGGGAAGGAGGAAGGAAACGAAGGGGAAAGGAGAGGAAG